AGTGACTGTATGTGCAGGTAATTGCCTAAGAAGACAAATGCTGGATATAGATGTAAGGGCTTAGGGGACAAACAGAAAGGCCTCAATAAAGAACATGAAGGAGGCAAAAGTAATAGCAGCAATCTTGCGCAGGTACCAAATATTTTTCTTAACGTCTTTTAAGAATATGTTGTTCTCATGTTTATGTATGTAATTAGTATTATCCAAGAAAAAAAAAATCAGACCACAGAAAAGCAAGGTAGTTTGTGTGAAGTAGTACCAGAACTATGCTTAGTGCAAATCAAGCTTCTGAGCTTGTTAAAGGTTGATTTGTGTGTTCATGCATCTATCAACACAAGTCCTAACCAAAACCTCAATGTCTCCCACTGTAATACTGTATAGATATAGGATAGTAACCGAGAAAAAGTCACACAACGATGAGAACCTAATCCACTATTATTTGTGTCCTTGTAAAGAGAAAAAAATGTGGATTCATGAATACACAAGAGAATAACATGTTGTGAGCACTGAGTTTATCTACAAGTCAAGAAAGAAATGCCAGAATGACCTGCACACCGCCCATAGCTAAGCAAAGAGGCACTTTATACTCTGACAGAACCAGCGCTGCCAACATGAACTGCTGACCTCCAGAGTTGGGAAAGGACATATTTCTGTTAGTGAATTTACTCATTTTTCTGCATTTTGGTACTGCATATGCAAAGGCTGCCCATCCAGTTAGCATGCTACAGTCTCCTTTCAGATATGTGTGAGCACTTAGAGGAGGAAGGGGTTAACTAATCTCTGTTCAGTTCTAGAACCAGGGTGTCTCCTTTGTCCTGTAATCTGAGGTCTCCATTAGTAATAAGACCATTATCTCCTGGGGGAAAGGAAGGGATGGGGAAAAAGAGGAAGAGAAAAAGGAAAGGAGGGCAGGAAGGAGGAGGAGGGAGGAAGGGAAAGAAAAAGGGAGAAAGCAGGGAAGGGAGAAGGAAGGAATGAAATAGCGCAATCCACATCATTATTTTTTATTTTTTGCAATAAAGCTCAGTATGGATGTCTTCTCTGTTGGTCAAGGACTTCACTACAAAATGTTTCATTTTTATGGATCTATGATTAAGCTGTTCAAAAAAACAGTTTTCATTGATTCCTATTTATATACTCATTCTACTTTGACTTATATGGACCAAAGCAAAGCATTGGACCCCATTCTTCTCTTCCCACTTCTGTTTGATGGTAAATGGAAAATCCTGACATTTGGGGAGGGGGCATTCTTTGGTTCTCTTATTACAGCAATTCATCTTTCTTTGGGGGAAAAAGAGAAAGCTGAGTATTGGATGGAGACATTTCAGTGGAATCTTTCTCTGGTGACTCGTAATCTAAAGCTGCTGAATCCAGGGAAGGCAGTTTTAACCACAGTATTTAATCTTAGGGAGACATTTACTGCAGAGCCTCTTGTTTTGCCTTGTTTAATATAAACCACAAGAGAGGTTTTTCTTGGTCATGTCATTTCGTGAAGCAGAGTGAGAGATGAAAATCCCTAGTCTTGCTTCAGAATAGCCGTATCCTGTTCAATACTGCAGTAGATCTCAGCAGCAAAATACCACCAACAAAACACTAATGATTCTAAAGACAACAGGAACACTAACACTAATGATTATAATGACAACAACCAGAGCCCATGAGAAAGTTCTGGGAGAAGAGCTGATATTCCTGGAGTCAGGCACACCTTGACTTTCCTTACACTTCTGACTTCCCAGTTATATTCCCTCCAGGAAGGTGTCTTTGTTAAGCTTGGCTTCCTCTTCTCTAAATTGGGAGACTGAATAGTCCTCACAAAGTTGTTATGACTATTACATGGAGTGTTGATGGCAAAAGTCTTAACACAGTTTCTAGCACAAAATACATATTCACTGTGCTTTTTTTTTTTTTTTTTTTTTTCATTGTTACAGGTAAACACTTAGTCTATTGTCAGCCTATCACGCTTAAGGATGCTTTCAAGTGCTTGGTATGTGATACTGAGTCATTGTTTGTCTCCACCTTACAGACAAAATAATTAAATGACAGCTCATGCTCATGGGTTCAGAAGTGTCAAAGCAGAAGTTCCTTTGAATCATATATATATGTCAAATTTCATCTGAAAACAACCAAGTTAATTAAAGAGCCAAAGAGATCCTGCCAAGGTCATCAATTGAAATTGGTCATTGTACAAGCTATAAAGTCAATAAAAAGCCAAAGGACATAATTGACTGCCCCTTTCAGTTTTGCATCAGTTTAGCGTTTAAATCCAACGAATTAACTATGCCCGCATATAGATTTTAAAGCAAATCTGAACTTTCAAGCAAATCAAGGGTGATTTTAGATAAGGAAAATATTAATGAAGGTCCATCTCAAACTATCTTCAGCAAAAGTGAAGCTTACTTGTACCTGTGTCTGAGATGGCTAAGTCCCATTTTAGGCACATCTGGATACAGGCTCTCTGCTGCCCTCTCCTTTCCACTTGTTTCATTTTTAGCTCTGCTTCCCTCTGCTGACCAGGTTTCCTGACAGAATATGTTAATACAAACATGCACCAAAAATCTCGAGTCCCATTCTCATTGCTAGCTCCACCAGTTGCCTCCTTGCTTTCCAAAGGCTGTTGATCAATAGTTTGATCAGTCCTAGGAAGATGTAGTGTTGAAGGATCAATTTAAGTGACAACCTCACAAAAATTACTTGGAAGGGGAGAAGCATTCCAAAGAAACGGTTGGATGGAAAAGTTATCCAGGAAGATGGAAAGTTATACTGAGTAACGCAAACTCCAGTGAGTGCTCTGTTCCTTAGAGGTTTGTTCAAACAGAAACTTCAGGGTCTGGAGTGGAAGATCTACCTTGAGAACAGAATATGAAAAACATGTGTCTCTAGAACTGATGATCTCTGAGACAGGCATAGAACACAGGCCACGTTAGAGCTTAGCAATGTGAAAACAGGGCTGCAGATGGGAGAGGGAGTTGCCCTTCTCTCTGATTCCCATGGCACTTTGGATCATGACATAAGCCTAAGTCTCTTTCTCTCCAGAGTGAGGCTCTGAGGTAAGGCCATCCTTCTCTGGCTGCAACTGGCAGAAGAGACTTCATTGAAACTGCAAGTTCAGCAAAACTAGGAGCTGCAGATGGATCCTTGGATTTTGGAACTGAAACAACCAGGATACCATTTTGGAGTCAACTTAAAGTGTCACTATCCACATTTACAGTCTTTAAACTCAGTACAAAGAACCTAGAAAGCTAAGTTGGATGAACAAGTTATCCAGGAGGATTAGATACACCGACGTATAGTGAGAAGCTTTGTAAATCAAACTCCACTGGGCGTGCTAGTCGCTAGAGCAGTGGTTCTCAACCTGTGGGTTGTGACCTCCTTGGAGGTCAAAGAGCCCTCTCATAGGGGTCCCATATAAGATGTTTGCATTAGGATTCATGACAGCAAAATTAGAGTTATGAAGTAGGAAAACAGTAATTTTGTTGTTGGGGATCACCACAGAAACATGTGGGACTGTATTAAAGGGTTACAGAATTGGAAGGTTCATTGACAACCATTGAACTACAGGTTCCTTCACAGAGACATTGCAGGGTTTAAGCTGGAGTTGAGAGATCTACCTTGAGAATAAAATATGCAAACCATGCCACCCTCAGCTTGGGTTAGTCTAAAATTCTGGCTCTGTGCAAGTTTCAGTGTCTAAGTGGAAGGGCAGGGCAGCATCAGTCCACAGAAGAGCAAGATGGGCTTCTGGAAACGCTCAGGGATCCTTCAGCACAGACTTCAAAACATAACAGCTCCTTCCTGCCAGCAACCACACCCTGGGACACCTGGTTCCCTACTCCCATCCCCCAAGGACTGGTGAGTAGAAATCTGGTTTCAGCCCAGCAACAGCCTCTGCGTCCTTAGCGACCGGGTTGCAAGCCCTCCCCCCCCCCCCCACGGTGAACCAGGCCCTGTGATTGGCTGGATTCCTAGCTCGAGCTCCATGCCTACATTCCAGGTTGCTTTTTAGAGAGAAGCGTTCGCACCTCTGATCTTCCTGTGTAGGAAGCTTCACTTTGGCGGTAAGACTGCCTGCCCCACTGATCCCTCCTGCGGGTGGTCTCGAGGCTGATGTCCACCTGCGGAGCAAGTAAACCAAATAGTCTCAAATCCCTGTTTGGTTTTCCACACCCACAGCTTCAAAGAGCCTGTGGTGGGCTGGATGGAGTCTCCTAATGACTCAGTAAGCTCGCTTGCTTTGCAGTCCTTCTGGGATGGCCAGCTCTAGCTACCCATTCCTCTTCCTTTGATGGTCAGGGCTATTAAGAGTACCTCCTACCCTGACTGAGAGGGCTGAGCTTTCAACGCGAGTTCACTTCCTAGGACGCACATTGTAGCAGAGGAAAACAGATCGCAGGATTGCAGCAGGTTCCTCTCTCTCTCTCTCTCTCTCTCTCTCTCTCTCTCTCTCTTTCTCTCTCTCTCTCTCTCTCTCTCTCTCTCTCTCTCTCACACACACACACACACACACACACACACAGCATACGCATTATCTAATACAAGTTGTACATAGCATGGAAGTCCCCAGTAAGGAAGTGAGACCTCTTCAAAGAGCATTTAGAATAAGTTGCTCATGTCTGCACAGGATAAGGAATAGTTGTAATAAAGCAACTGAATTTGGGGAGGCTTGAAGAGGGCTATTTTAACAAGATTTTTTTCAGACTTGTAGTCTTGACTTCTCAAAGGTCAAAGATACTATACCCTTCACATAAGAATTTCATCTGCTTTTAGAAAAAAAAAATCACAGAATGTAATAATCTTTCTGTTCTTGATGTTTTCATGTACATTTAACTTAGTCACCATCCTGGAGTTGTCTGTATAATCCCTTCACAGGATAAATACCAGTGAGTCCTGATGTTATTTTTTATGTTATTGATAAGAAATCCGTAACTACCTGGTGGGAAATCAAGAGAAAGGACTTGATTATTTTATACCTCTAAGAAGCTGACAAGATTTGGAAAGGGACCATGTCTTCAGCGTGTAAGACCCAGTACAGATTACAGCCAATGCCGGAGACCATAGTGAAAATTATTGGAAGTAAACATTTTCGATACTTGGTGGAAAAGCCAAAGATGTAAGTTTCTTCTCTGAATAATTACTGTGTTTCTTGGATAATAATGAAATTGTTTTTTTTTTTAACTAAGAAATTTTAAAGGTGCCATATTTGCTAGATTAAGTCATTAAGATGCAAAAGTAGAAATAAAACAGTGTTGATAACTCTATGAGCAATTTTTCTGATATTTTTATCTTTATAATTCCCCAGTTCTCTTTAATTACTTGGGCTGGTTTTCCAAATAGATGGGAAATATGAGCATCATGACACTTATAAATATTAATGGAATATTGCTGCTTCTCCTAGTCAAGTTTGTAATACACCACGTGCAGTAATTTGGTGTTGGGAGGGAAACAAGGAGGCAGGCTATTTGTCAGTTTGTTGTGAATTACAGAACTGGGATTAATAACGAATCACATCTTGTAAGGTTTTCACTTACTCTTTTCGCATTTGCTCCTTCTCTAAGCAAACTTCTCAGAGCTCAGCCAACACGTCTTTCTTCCCTTCCGTTAATGAAACATATTTGAGGAGAGTCATTCACACATCTTTAAAGTTAACTGGATATTTGTCACAAAATAACATGACAGTATCTAGAGTTTTGGTGGTTTTAAAAGAATTCCAATTAGACCTATTTTCTTTAAGCAAGTCTGTAGTTAGTTGCCTTCCCCAAAATGACTTCTTTGGTTCTTTTCACTGTTCTGCCATTGAACATAGCTGCAGGGAATAATACTTTCCAAAGTCAAGACAATCACCCAAAGCACACTTAGAAAACAACATCTGGAGTTCATCTCAAGACAAACTGACTCAGAACCTCTGTATGAATGTCTCACGACCAATGTCACCAAAATGGATTAGCAACACCAATTGTTTTTGGTGACTGGTATTGTCACCCAATAGCAATTCCAATATGAATGTTGTCATTAGTCATACATGAGTGGACTAGGAAGTGGTCATGGCAGAATGGGGTCCATGATTTTGAGATTTCTGCAGGGCAGAGAAATGGGAATTTTAATTCTACTCTTTTTTTTTTCTTTTCTGGCTTGTTGACATTGCAAAGTGTGGTGATATGTCTGGCATTCTATTCTATATCTATAAAGCAGGAATTTAGTGACTCCTGTATAGTAGGTTGTCAAGGGGATTAAGAAGAAAAATATATGTGGGGCATTTTGCAGCTCCCAGGATATCTCATGTACCTGATAAATGTTTCTGTTATTGTTACTAAAGTATATCCTTTCAAGGTGTAGAATGTTTAATGAAAAACAAACACCACCCTATGAAATATTTGCCATTGCATTTATATTCTATGCAGGATATGTTCAGTTTTATAGATGAAGAAAGGTAAGTGACCATTTCAAGATTTTTTACCAATTCGCTGTCACTGTGAAAAAAGCAAAGAAACATAGGCACTGAGCTCACATATACCAGGAAGACATCATCACGCCTCTAGTTTCTATTCTTCCTAAGGCAGATTAACCCCATCCCTTTCAAAGTTTTAAGGATGCCAAGTGCAGTTTGTTTCTAAAAGCAAAGGGAGGAGGAACCCTTGATTGATTTAAATGATAAAGGATTTAAAAACTACAGTAAGACCCATCAGAATGGCCAAGATGAAAAACTCAAGTGACAACACATGCTGGAGAGGTTGTGGAGAAAAGGGAACCCTCCTCCATTGCTGGTGGGAATGTAAACTGGTTCAACCACTTTGAAAGTCAATCTGGCGCTTTCTCAGACAACTAGGAGTAGTGCTACCTCAAGACCCAGCTATACCACTCCTAGGTATATACCCAAAATTTGCTCAAGTACACAACAAGGACATTTGTTCAACCATGTTCGTAGCAGCTTTATTTGTAATAGCCAGAACTTGGAAACAACCCAGATGTCCATCAACGGAGGAATGGATACAGAAATTGTGGTATTTTTACACAATGGAATACTACTCAGCAATCAAAAAAGAGGAAATCATGAAATTTGCAGGCAAGTGGTGGGATCTAGAAAAGATCATTCTGAATGAAGTATCCCAGAAGGAGAAAGACAAACATGGTATATACTCACTTATATAGACCTACAAGATATGATAAACATAATGAAATCTACACACCTAAAGAAGATAATCAAGAAAGTAGACACAGGCAAAGGTGATTAATCCTCATTTAGAAAGACAAATGGGATGTGCATTGAACGTATGACAGGAGTCTACCACAAAAGGCATCTGAAAGACTCTACCTAGCAGTGTTTCAAAGCAGACACTAAGACTCATAACCAAACCCTCGGCAGAGTGCAGGGAATCATATGAAAGAAGGGAAGTTAGTATGATATGGAAAGGATAGGAGCTCTACAAGGACCAAATATATCCGGGCACAGGGTCTTTTCTGAGACTGACACTCAACCAAGGACCATCTATGGATATAACCTAGAACTTCTGCTTGGATGTGGCCCGTGGTAGCTCAGTAACCAAGTAGTTTTCCAAAGTAAGGGGAACACAGACTATTTCCAACAGGATCTCAAGGGCAGGCTGTTTGACCCCCCCTCCCCCCCCCGCGGGGAGGAGCAGTCTGTTAGGCCACAGAGGAGGACTTTGCAGCCAGCCCTGAAGATACCTGATAAAACAGGGTCAGATGAAAGGGGAGGAGGTCCTCCCCTATCAGTGGACTTGGAAAGGGGCAGGGAGGAGACCAGGGAGGGAGTGTGGGGTTGGGGAGGGAATGAGGGAGCGGGATACAGCTGGGACACAGAGTTAACAAAATGTAACTAAAAAGAAAAATAAAATTTTAAAAAAAACTACAGAAAGTAAATTGTAAAATAAAAGCCATAGTTCTTGCTCCTAAGACACTATAAATGTGGTATTATTTTATAGTCAGACAGATTTTCTGTGAACTTAATGCTGTTGTTGCTGGACTGCCACAAGGCTGTGAACATGCTTTGCTAGAATAATCTTCCATGGTTCTAGAGTAAACAGTTGTCCAAAGCTTACTTGTTGCTGAGGTAACATCAGCCATCAAGTCCCACAAGTTCCGGAACGCCTTAATGCTAGGTTGCTGAATCTGAAAAGTTTCTGTCTTTGAGTTGAACCAATTAGTGAAAATCTGCATAAGAAACTAACAAACGGGGTGTCATCAAAAGGGAAGTCTGAATTAAAGACAGTCACAACAGAATAATGAAAAGAAGCAGAGACACATTTAGCAGAGATTATTCTGTAGAAGATTGTTAAAGATGAAACAGTAAGGCAGATCAAGACCTGTGTAAGAGCTTGATACTGTCAATGTGCCAGAAACCATGGAATTAATTTTTTCACACTTGTGGATGCTAGAGATTCAATACTCAGGTGAGCATCCAACTGAGTCTCTTCCAGAGGTGCCAGAAAAGGCTTTCCGTGTCCTGTGCACCCATTTATCTTTTGGCTTTTGATACTGTGTGACTTTTCCATGTTTGCACGTGTATACAAATCTCCCTTTTTATCAAGAGAACACTATATTCATATATATATTATATTCATATAGACATATTGAATACCATACATAAATTGAATATCATATGTATGTAAAGGAGATCATATTCTGAGGTATAAGATTGGGACTTAAACATAGTAATCTTAACGGTGACACAATTGACCTCACAATAACCCCGTAATAACGGCTGTCTGTGACACAAATAAGATAACTGAGGGCAGCCGTTATAATTAAGATTGAAATATATATCATCACTCCTTTTTTCTACATTCAAATTGCACTGCTGTTATTAGATTAAAAAATACTCACCACCTATTTAATATAAATACTTTTCACAAGAAGATCAATTTATGAGCTTTGAAGGATGAAGCAAATTTTCTGTGGCTTTACTAGCATCATTCCCTCTAAGGTTCCATCCAAGCCTTCCAAATCAACCCTCTGTCTGACTTTCTTGTCCCCTAGTGGTCTGTATGAAGCCTTGCTCTCAAGGTGTCACACATGAACTGCCAGCACCCATCCCACTTGAAAACCTGAGCCGATCTCTAGCTCCCTCTGCAGATGGACTAAGCCAGAATTGCTTTTTAAATCAAATCCTAAGTGATTCCTACATGGTCTATTTTGAGAATCCCCATTCTTCAGTGTGGCCAGCAGGATCTTCCTAAAATACAGATATTCTGTACCTGATAACTCTCATAACACCCCTACGTATTTATTGTGTTGATACTTCCTGTATGCCTGTCTCTTCTCTTCAACTGTGAGGTTCTATGTGCGAAACTGTTACCTGGGCACAAAGTACAAAATCCTGTACATGTTGAAAGCTAAGTAAGTGAAGTAGAGCAATGCATTTGCCAAGAAAAGAAAAGATCTAAAAGACGATGTTTAGCTGTTTTAAAGGATTTCAGGCCTGAGATCCTAAGTTTTCAAATGGCATCCAGATGTTACTCAGGATTCCTCAGTAGTCTTTGATAGCTCATTGAAAGGAAGATATGCCTTCATCTTATCTCCCCCCCAAAAAAAAGAGTAGGTAAGAATAGGGAATGAAATCCAGAGGCTTGTGAACAACACTGGAACCAATTTTAGCTAAACAATCGTGTGTGTGTGTGTGTGTGTGTGTGTGTGTGTGTGTGTGTGTGTGTATCAGTATAAGAATAAAACATGAAAGCAATAATCTCCGAGGCTCACCACATGTTGACAAAAAGCAGATTCGATTATGCAGTCCATCCCCTTCCTGATGAGACTGCAGCCCAAATGAAGGGGATGAAAAGAAGTGGTGCTATCAATTCTAATGATTCATTTCTCTTACAATGGCCTGACACAAGGCATCCTTTTGAGATAGGTGATATCTGGCTGCACCCTTGCTGTTGCTAACAGCACAGTCCCACATACAAAGTTTATTTGGGCCCTGCTTCTAGTAGTCTAGGGTCAGGGGATATGTCCGATGGCCTTCATGGCAGAATCTTTTAAAAAAAGAGTGCAGTCATGTTATTTTATCCAATCCTTCCATTCTATTTTTCACATCCCAGGATGCTATTCTAGTCTTTTATTTAATCCAAATCACTTCTTAAAGTTCCCACTCTA